GAGCACCGGCGCCATGAGCAGGAACGTGCAGGCGTGCTTCACGTAGACAAAGGACGGGTGCAGCGCCTTCGTGACGGGGCCGTCCACCTCGAGCGCCAAGTAGTCTATCGGTCGCCGCCGTGCGAGGAAGCGCGCTAGTCGGCCGCCAGTGCGCTCCACGTCACGCATTTCGGTACGAGTCTTGCTGAGCACCTCGGCGCCGAGCTTCGTGCGGCCCAGCCGCGCAAAGAGAAGGCCGCGCGCCGTGCACCGCAGCATCTCTCCGCACTAACGGGGTGCAACAACAATGTGGAAAAGAGGGCGAGGAGGTGAGGGAAAAAAGAGAGAAGAGGGTGCGTGTGTGTGAAAAAATGGGGTGAGGAGAAGAAGCGCATGGGCAGCCTCAAGAGGGGAAAGGAATCGAGGCTCGACAACGTGCAGCAGCAGAAAAAAGTAAACACACAGAACCAAAGGGGCGGGGGTGATTGGCACCAGGAGGTGGCGCAGCTGGCTCCTCGTTCATCTTTCCCTGCACCACAGCAGCGAAGCCTGGCCCCAATCTTCTTTAAGAAGATACGTGTTTGACTCTTCTTACAGTTAATCGTCGAATGACTTGTACTACTTCTTTTTCTTACCACTTTTCTTTACCTTCTTATTCGCACGGCGCTCACGATTTGCCTCCTTCACGGCTTTGTGATATTCTTTCCGTTCCTCCTTTGTCATGTCGGCAATCGTCTTGGGCGCCTGTCGCGGCCGACCCACCTCCGTCGTTTCTCTATCCGCGCCACCATCACTTCTACTCCTTTTGCTGCCGTACGCCTCGTCATTTTCCTCCTCCTCGTCGTCGTCGTCGTCACAACTGGTATCACCGTCATCCACGTCGCTTTCATCCGCGCCCCCTCGGGGCTGTGCGGTGTTCGCCGTCATTTCGGCGACGTACGGTGCGAGTTCGGAGTTCGGCGCCTTGTGGTGAGCTATCTCGCCCAGCGTGCGCGGCACGGCGATGTTAAGGAAGACCTGCTCGTCCACCTTCGCCTGCTCCGCGTCCTTCTGCAGTACGCCCTCGCGCTCGCGCATCTCGCGAAGCTCCAGCAGGTGTTGCAGGATCTCCTCCACGTTGTCTGGGCCGTCGCAGCGCTGCCACCCACGCGGGGCGGGAGCGGCGGTGATGAAATGATACAAGTCCTGCAGAGAGAAGAGCTGCTGGTGTCCCTTGGCACGGAAAAAGGCGTTTACGTTCACAATATCTCTCCGAAGAAAGTCCATGGCATGCGGGTGATCGTTCTCCACTGACTGAGAGACGTCAATCACCACAACGCGGCCGCGGTAGAGCAGCAGGTTGTACTCAGAGAGGTCGCCGTGTATAAGTCTGCAGCGGCCGTACATCTTCCGCATCGTGCAACAAAGGTCGAGGTAGCACCTGTCGAGCGCAGCAGCAGAGGGAAAGCGGACCTCCTTCAGTCGTGGAGCGGGCCAGCCACCCTCCCCGAGGAACTCCATCACAAGCACGTGTTGCCGCAGCAGCTTCACGGCGGGCGCCAACACACCGCCGTCCTGCAGGCGATTCAGATTGCGGGCCTCCTTCTCTGCCCATGTGCGCACCATCTTACGCGGATTGCTCTTGCAGTACCGCTGGAATCGGAACTCACCCGCGACATACTTGTCGCGATCCTTGAACACGAGGATAGAGGTCTTGAACACCTTTACCGCCGCATCGCTGCCATCACCTGCGACAGCGTAATATACGTTCGCCTCCTTTCCCGTCGACACACAGCCGTTGATCTCCTTCAGCTGGCCACTGTTGACGAGCTTGTACAATATGAGGCGCGTGCGCGGGTCCATGACATTCTCCACCGTCGCGCGCTCTGAGCGGTCGACCTCCTTTGACGTCTGCATTGACGTGAGGCGGTTTGACATTGTCATCTCCCGCAGATCGTTCAGCACGCGCTGGTTCGCCCTGCTTGCGCCACCCGCACCGCCGGCGAAGGACGAGACGTCCGCGTAGAACTCGTCGACTCGAATGCGGCGAAGGACACTTGCGTGGGTGGTGGTGTGCTGCGACGGCTGCATCTTGCTCAGAGATGTCGTCTCCTTCTGCGCGTTCGTGCCGGGCGCCGCACCCAAGACCACCCGCGCCGGTGCCGCGCCTTTGCCCTGCACGACGTCGTAGAGCGCCGCCTCATCCCCGCTGTCTCCGTCGCCAACGATGTCGTCCACTGTGCTGCCCGGCGCCATGTACTGCAGGAGCTCCTGCAGCTCGACCGCCTTTGCCTGCGCTCGTGAGTGCATGGCGGCCGTGACCGTGTAAGACTTGAGCTGATGGGGCGCGTCCGCTGCGCTAGAGAGGTCGGCGGGCAGTGATGATGCACAACAACACTTTCAAGGTAGAGCGATAGCAAGAGACACGCATACACAGCGAGGGTGGTAAGAAAGACGGCACATCAAGGGCCCACAACAAGGGTATACTCAGAGACGCAGGCATCACAAAAGAAGTCCACAGATATCAACAAAGGTGCAACGGGTTTTTCAAAAAAAAGGGAGCGAATGAATAGAAAAATGATTGTCAACTTCGATCAATCCCTTCTGTGTATAGGCGATTGCGTTTTTTTTTTCTTTGCACACCCAGCGGAGCGGCCGCGCACTTCACCCTCCCATAGCACGCCGCGGCGATGGGTGCAGGACAAGCAGGAATAAATGCTACGCTCATGTCAACAAGAGCGGGTCGGGGTGCACACACACACACACACAGGCACAGAGAAAAAAAAGAAATAAACCTGGTCTCATTAACCAAAATAAACGATAGAAGTAAACATAGAAAAAATCACATGCTCATCATCCACATATATACATATATATACATATATATATATATATATGTATGTGCGAGTGCTTTGCGCAATTGCGCGCTGTTTGTATCAGTTGTGTTGGCAACATATCTCGAAATAAGACTCACCCCAATATCTCACGCACGATGGTGTCGAAGAGCGTCCGACTCACGTCGCGCTGCGGTACGCGTACGTCTGTGCGAACCGCTTCTGCAACCACGTGGAGGCCGTCACAGGGGGGTACTTTGCGGGGTTCTCCGTCGAGTAGCAGTTGTCGAGGCATGTGATGAGTGTGTCCGGGTTCGGCTCGCAGAAGAACGGCATCGAGATGCGGTCCACACCGGGATTAAGCACACGGTGTGCCGTCGACTTGTAGCGGTCGTTGCTCCACATCTCCATCATGTCGCCGATGTTCACAACGAAGCTGCCATCCACTGGCGGCGCGTCCATCCACTCACCCGACAAGTCGCGCACCTGGAGGCCGCCGTGTTTGTCTTGGTACAGCAGCGTCAGGATACCGTAGTCCGTGTGCTCGCCGCACACCACACGCCTGCCCTTCTGCTCCGGTAGGCCAGGGTAGTGGATTAGGCGGAATACACTCAGCGGCTCAAAAAAATGCGAGACGAAGAAGTCCTCTTTGACGCCAATCGCCAGAGCAAGCGCGCGTAGAAGCTGGAGAGCGAGCTGCTGCATCTCGCTGTAGTGNCCTTCTGCTCCGGTAGGCCAGGGTAGTGGATTAGGCGGAATACACTCAGCGGCTCAAAAAAATGCGAGACGAAGAAGTCCTCTTTGACTCCAATCGCCAGAGCAAGCGCGCGTAGAAGCTGGAGAGCGAGCTGCTGCATCTCGCTGTAGTGCTTCTCCATGAGCTCCGTCCAGCCCTCAATCTGCGCGGGGTGGTGGTTCGGCCCACGGAGCGGCTTGCCAGCCACAACGGAGGGGTGGTCCTCCGGCAGATTGTAGCTCATGTCGAACGTCTCCTTCCAGTCGTTCGGCGCAGTGGGGTCGAGTTGCTCCGCCACAAACTCACCGTACCCGCGGTGGCAGCGGCTCTTCTTNCCAGTCGTTCGGCGCAGTGGGGTCGAGTTGCTCCGCCACAAACTCACCGTACCCGCGGTGGCAGCGGCTCTTCTTGATATCGACCTTGAGCTTCTCCTCCATTGGAAGGGAGAAGAACGCGTTAGCCATCTCCGTCAGCTTCTGGAAGCGCTCCGGTGGGATAGAATGGCCAACAATGTAGAAGAAGCCCCACGTGCGGCAGGCCTCATCTATTTGCTTCGCAACATTCTCCACTGCGAGGCGATCGTTGAGCAGCGGTGACACGTCGATGATCGGCAGCGAACGTTGCGCCATGGCCGAGGCCTGCTATATTTTGCTCCCTAGCTGTATTTGTGTTGTGGTGTTGCTGTCATGGTTGTAGTTTGAAAGAAGAGAAAGGCAACGAAAAAGAATGAGCGCATCAAAGATGCAGCGGCTTGAAGCAGAAAGATATGGGAATTAAGAAGCCAACGACTGCTCAAAATGCAACACCGCCCACGGTAGACGCAAACGCAGCGGCAGATCATCGCAAGCCTCGAGACGCACCGACCCACTGAGTCACACTCCACACACCCCCCCCAGCACCATGGCTTGGCGCACAGAGAGACAGAGAGCCGGCCCACTTCACTTACACGCAGACGCACTGAGCCAACTTGGGTAAAGGAACTTGCACAAAACCCGAAGAAGCACCTCCCCCATCCAGCAGGCATTGTTCCTAACGGCAAGATTCCCTACAGAGGCGTCTCGGCCCTCGCAGGGGGATGCTGCAAGTTGTTGTGTCCACTTCCCCTCCCGCGGCCCTTCGCTGGTGTTCCCCAGCAGCCACCAAGCATACGCAGCTGCAGCGTCCTCACACCTACGCTCCCAAACTGCTGCATCAAATGTGCCTCCTCCTGGAGGCCCGTTCACACCCAACCGGAGATAGTACCGCACCCACAAGACGATGCATAAATGCAGCTCCTCAGAAAGGAAAAAAAAATTGCTACCGTGGTGGCTTCCTACTCTGGGTCTCAGTCATCTGCAAGACGAGGCTCTTCACACCTCTCAAGTCAGAGCGATAACGCAAGTTGTGTACACCTATAAACTCGTATGACGCAATGCCACGCAACCTTTCCAAGGTATGATGTTCGCTTCAGTACCACTGCTATCCTTTTATATGAAAAGCACCACATAAAAAGAAAGAGAAAGACACAACGCATACGGGCACAATTCAACGTGCAATTCACTTGCTTCATCGTTCTCTCATTCTCCTTTCACACCCCATGGAGGAGCTGTGTGAATTAAGAAATGCACAGAACACACGACGAAGCACTCCAATTGACTGTCAAGCGTCACTGTTACAACTGCATAGTCTGAGGAAAGCCGCCAAGTGTTCCCCCTTTGCGCACCGACAGCAGCGAGCCTTTACAACTCCAGCGGTTGCACGAACAGCCACTCACAGCATATTTAATCCTGTGATGAGACAACGTGCACTCGTTCACGTCTCTACTCCCAGCAGCACCGGGGACAGCGTTGATCACCTGCCCAGTCACTGAGCTATCAGTGCTTCCTGCAAAAAAGCAGTAAAGCGACATTTTGTGCCACACAGACGTAATGGGAAGGAAAGTGCAGCCACAGGGGACCAGCAGAACACTACTGTCGCACCTCCGTGCGACAAATAACGCATACTCTGTCCACTACCTCTGCCGAGTTTGCCGCAGAAACTCTTCAAATACGCACATTTCCTCCCCACTCCATTCTCCACCAGCAGCAGCGCTGCGATTCGGGGATATGTGCCGGAAGCCAGTCACGGCGTCACCGACATTCGCACGCGCCTTCGCCTGGTACGCCGCGTACGAGACGTCGCCGCATTCTTCCATCGATGGAACGTGGGGCTCCAGCAGCCGAAACAGGTCCATCACCACGCGCCGCTTCGTCTCAAAATCAAAGGGTGTATCGCAGAAGAGTGACGGGGAGTGGTTCACCTCCATCAGGACTGGCTCCAAATCCTCCGTCAGCATCATATCGAAGCCCAGCAGCTCGAAGCAGTTCCGTCCGTCACTGCGAGAGCCCCGTGACGCGCCGGTGCCGACGAACTCCCGCTGCAGCTCCTCCCAGCCGGAGAGAATTGTCAACATGACACAGGTATCGATGCGGCGCAGGAGGCGTTCCCACCTCGTAGTTGTGTCAGCGTTGTCTTCTGATCCCGCACAGGGGGCGTCACCCCCGGGGAGCGCGTTGATGTAATGTTGTAGAAACGTAAAATCTCGTTTGTTACCCTCGCAGACACCGTCGCACTTGTCACCCATCGTCGACTGTCCCACCGTAAAGTCCACCGAATTCTTGTTTACGGCGTAGTTTGTCAAGTGTACACTTGAACGCTCGCAGTTCGTCCTGTCAGGAGCAATGTACTCCTCTGCGCAGATGCGTACTAGCCCTTCTTGGTGGACAAAGACGTGCAAGCCCTCAAGAATATTTTTGATGCTGCTGCTGCTGGAATTTTCAGCACCTAAAAGTGACGGGCGAAACCCCCGCCGCGGGGGCCGCCCAACCACCACAGAAGTCACCAAGACATAAATGCGAAGGTCGAACTTCTTACGCTCGATGCAGAGAGGGGGTGTCATGTATATCTGGACAAGGTAGTCATCCGTTGTGTCGCCCATAGTGCGCTCCAGTGTCCGAAGTGGCTCCGCCGTCACCACAATGCCCTTGCCTTGACAGCCTTTGCTCGGCTTCAGGATAAAAAACTGCTCCCAAGCCGCTTGCTGCTGCTGCTGCTGTTGTTGTTGTTGCTTCTGATCGGCAATGAACCGCTCGAGCAGCGTCAGCTCCGTTGACGCCGAGAAGCTCCACGGAAAGGCGCCGAGGTCGACGGCAAGTGCTGGGGACAGACCCTCCCGCCGCCTGATGCGCATGAGTCGTTTGAAAAGAACCGCCTTTCTCGCAATGATGTGCATGCCGGGGAAGTGGTTGATGCGATGGCGACAGGACAACGCGGCAACACGCGACGCCAGTACACTCTTGTCAAGCCATAAAACCTGTGGGCTAGTGGCGTGGTCGTAAGCAAGGCCCCGCGATGAAAGACGCTGGACGAGTGTCTGTGTGTCTGTCCGCAGCGCGATACCGTGGAACGAGGAGGGAACATCATCGCGGCCTTCATCCTCCACGTACCACCTGAGTGCTACTGCCGCAGCCCGCACCACGTGGTATCGTGACTGACTACAGTTCACAACGATACACTTTTGTGAAGCCTGAGCGCACCCATCACCCGAAGAGCCTTCCATTCTATTCTACTCTTCAAGTCGTCTGTGTAAATAAGAAGCACAATAGATGTGAATCATACAAGGACCAGCACAAGAGGAGCATAAAACAGCGTTCGGATTAGGTCCGTCAGCGCCGAGTGCAAGATCAAAGGATTAAGAACAGTACAGCGTAGATAGCACCTTTTCACTCTTCCATCCTTGGTGCGTAACTCAAAATCGGTTGTATGAGCACCTCAGCGTCACGTACACTTTATTTACAACAAGGTGAGCCTCATTCTCGTTGCTCGACACGATCTATAATCTTAGTAGAGGGGCCGATAGGCATGCCCCGTGCGTGGCACGAGTAATGGCTCTCCTCCGCCCTTTCAATACAGCGGGCCTCCCCCACCGCGAATTCTATCTCTGCAGGGTGCCCCTCGTTGGTTGGGACGCAGCGCCTTCTCTAACTGCAGCGAGCTAGTGTGCCACGTGACGTTCGATCTTCGCCAGGATATCCGACTTCGTCTTTTCCTGCGACACATCAATGTTCTTCTCCTTGGCGTACGCCTTGAGAGCGTTGACGGTCCACCGCGGTGATGGGTCGCCCGACGGCTGTGCAGAAGGGGAGCGTGCGCGTTTTAATGTAGCGCGTGCATTCGATTCAGACTTCTGCGGTGACACAGACGACTTCTTTGGCGATGACTTTGACGGGCTCATCGGCCGTGGCGACCGCGCCGGCGACACGCCGTTCGGTGCCGGACTCGACTTGCGTGGTGTCACCGACCGACTCGCCGCTGCGCGCTTTGGTGTGGACTTCTTCGGTGATGCCGCCCGCTTTGGTGTGGACTTCTTCGGTGATGCCGCCCGCTTTGGTGTGGACCTCTTCGGTGATGCCGTCCGCTTTGGTGTGGACTTCTTCGGTGATGCCGACCGCTTTGGTGTGGACTTCTTCGGTGATGCCGACCGCTTTGGTGTGGACTTCTTCGGTGATGCCGTCCGCTTTGGTGTGGACTTCTTCGGTGATGCCGACCGCTTTGGTGTGGACTTCTTCGGCGAGGGTGTCCTCTTTGGCGTCAGCAGTTCCGGCGCGGTGTCCCGCTGCGGTGTGGCAGCACGCGTGGTGGACTCTTGCCGCGGCGAAGAGTTGCCAGAGTTCCGTGAGGACGACCGAGAGGACCGCAGCGTGGGGGGATTCACTGGAGCCACAGCAGCTGCACGAGCAGCGGCTGCCTTGCGCGGCACACGCGAGGCGGTCGGTGACGCACCGACGCTCCGCAGGACCTGCGCGCGAGTCTTGGGGGACATAGGCGTCGACTTCTTCGCGGAGGCCTTGGCCTTGGCGATGGTCACACTCACCCGCGAGCGCGGTGGCGTCGTCGTCTGGGCCTGCTTCAGGTTTCCGTCGTCATCGTAGATGCGGTGCTTCGACAAGGGCAAATCACTATCATCCACCTCTGGCTTGGTATTGATGAAGTACCTCCAGAATGGCATGGCGACTTCTCGTAACTTTATGCTGTGGTGTAGCCACGCAAAGAACCTAACAAAAAGGAAAGGGTCAGACAAAATAAAGAAACCATTGGTGGCAGGTGGACGGGATTGGCCACCAGAGAAGGAAAGAGATGAGAGCCTGCGGCGGCGCACGCACGGGGTGCGAAGAAAGGAGTGGGATGTAATATATGGTCTGGTGGTCCTACCAGATTAAAAGGCTTCACTGCTCATGCGCGCTGCCCCCACCCCGTGAACCCACGAAGAAAGGTAATGATGGGGGAGAACGGTGCAGTTAAGCCAGGCCACAAAAAAAAAATCGTTGGCGTAGAAAACAGAAGTCGGAGCTCCCATGCCTCCAAACAACCACCAAAAAAAAATTCACCGATGACGTGGGGAAGGCTACCAGAGCAGCCACCTGATGCTGCGGATCTTAAATGTGCACTTGCGCAGGAAGAGGGTCACAAAGCAGGCGGTCAGAGCAACCAGCCAGTTCCACTTCCCGCACCCTCAAGAAGCGCACAGACGCATATGTGTGGACAATATTGCCGTGAAAACGCCGCGGTCATCAAATCAACCAACATGCCGCAGACTGCAACGGTATTCACACCACTCTCCACCGGGTAAAAATATTGTCACTAAGATAACTGCAAGTTCATTGCTTCAATGCACATGACACAGACCTAATGTAGAATTTTCCCTCTGTCACTCTTTCAGTAATAAATGCCGTCATGCCCATTCAAAGGAATGCACAGACATTCGTCCAGCTATGGTACCCCGTCACACAGGCACTGGGTACCAGCTCCTAGGTTGTCCCTAGGGACGCTGGAACTCTTAAACCCCTAAAACTCGCGCTGTCATGGCGCAACAGGGCCGATCACCACAAAGACGTGTGTTTGTATTAATTTTTTACAGCACACGTTAGGTAAAACAAAACTCAACAGGCCTATAAAAATACTCGCAGCATACCAGCGTCGTGGGAACACCCTGCCGCTTAAGCGCTACCACTGCGTTAACCGCATCCTCCGTCGTCTCTACCGTGGCAAAATCACCGGCGCTATGCGGCAGCAGCGGCCACAACTTGAAGGCGAAACTCGCAGACGATACCCAGTGTGCCCTCGCTACCGCAGTACAGCTGCGTCAGATCAAGCCCAGACGATAGGCCATCTCCCACGGCCTGGTACGCAGAGACCCTCACAAAGACCACCACATTCACATTCACATACACACACACACACACACATCCGCAGCGTGTAAGAGAGAGGAACTTCACACGAAAAAAAGAAAAGACAAAAATTCATCAAAAAAAAACAAAGCATTCAAAACAAGGATTTCCGAAAACGATACAACATATATAGATATATATATGCCCTTCCTGCCCGTCACACTCACTACAGATGAGCAGTTGGATAGAGCTGCTGTTGTTTGGGGTAAAAAACGCCTGGGTTCATCAGGTTGTCAGGGTCCAGTGCCGCCTTTATCGTCTCCTGCACCTGTATGTGCTCCTTGCCGTGCTCGAGTGTTACGTGCCGCACCTTCCCCACGCCCACACCGTGCTCACCGGACACAGTGCCGCCCCTTGCAACGGCGCGCTGAATCATGCGGCTCTCGAACTCCCGCAGCAGCCGCCGCTCTTTGTCATTATCGAATGGTATACTGAGGTGGAAATTACCGTCGCTGATGTGAGCGCAGATGAGGCACGGCACGTTGTGGGCGGCGAAGTCTTCCTCAGTCTCACGGATTGCCGCCGCCAACTCCGTTAGTGGGACGCAAACATCCGTTGTCAGCACCCGCTCCTTTTTGCCCCTCGAGTGCATGGCAGCGANACAAGCACGGCGGGCTTCCCACACGGCGTCCATCTCAGCGCCAGCCTTCAAAAACCGCATCGTTAGTGCTTTACCCGCAGTGCAGAATACTTGTTTCACCCTGTCGTAGTCGGCGCGTATACGATGCAGTGAGGCATCACTGTCTGTGAACTCCAGAAGAACCGCAGCCTTTAATGGCAATGACATCTTGCTGTACTTGTTAGAGGCATTCACGCCTTCCTTGTTGAGCAGCTCACAGCGCAGCAGCGTCGTGGGAACACCCTGCCGCTTAAGCGCGACCACTGCATTAACCGCATCCTCAGTCGTCTCGAAGGTGGCAAAGCCACCCGCGCTTTGCAGCAGCAACGGCCACAGCTTGAAGGCAACCTCGCAGACGATACCCAGTGTGCCCTCGCTACCGCAGTAAAGCTGCGTCAGATCAAGCCCAGACGACGACTTGCGCACAACCTTGCGCGTCTCCACCACGCTGCCCATAGGTGTCACGACGCGGAGCGAGAGAATGTTTTCGCGGGTCGTGCCGTACTTCAGTGTCGACATGCCGCTGCCGGACGTCGACACCATCCCGCCAACGCACGGGTTCGACGATGGGTCGGGGCCGAACGTGAAGCCACGCTCCCGCGCAGCCTTCACCAACTGCAGTTTCTTCACGCCGGCCCCAACCCACACAAACGCATTGTTAACATCGAAGTCCATCCGCTGCAGGCCATTCGTATCGATCACCACACCACCGCCGTACGGGATTGCGCCACCCTCGATGCCTGTGCCAGCCCCTCGCGGCGTCATGGGGGCCCTGTGGGCAGCGCACAGCTTTACCACGGCGGCCACCTGCTTCACCGACGTTGGTTGCACCGCTGCCAGAGCGCAGACGGGGCTATGCGCTGACGCGTCACCACCAAAGCCCGTCAACAGTTCATTTTCATCCACCACGAGACGGATACTTTCAAAACAGCAAAACCTCTTCAACTGCTGCATAAGTGTTTCGTACTTTTTTGGGCGTTCCGCCAACGGCTCAACCGCACACCTCTGCATAATGTCGATATTTCCCTTAAGTAGAAAGTTTTTACTCCTCCTTCGTCGAAGGGAGAAGCTAAAGAAGACGAAGAAATGGGCCCCCAAAATCTGACAGTGCCAGCACCACCCCAACAAGATAGACACTCAATATCCACGCAGCACTCGTTAGCCACCTTCAGGGAAAACAAACAAAAAATATTCGCAAAACAGAGTGGAATGTAAACGAATGATCGATAAAAAAATGAATATACGCCCTTCCTGCCCGTCACACTCACTACAGATGAGCAGTTGGATAGAGCTGCTGTTGTTTGGGGTAAAAAACGCCTGGGTTCATCAGGTT